ACAAATATTATTTATATTAGTTGAATAATATTTAACATTTTGATTGTAAAATACGATTATACTTTACCTTAATTTAATTTATTTCACCTGATTTTGAATAATTTTTTTCCTTTCTTTATTTCTAAAGACTATTACTTACATCAATCACTTTTATGGAGTTTATAGATAAAAATATATAACCTTTTATCGATTTTTAATTTTGAACTCAAAAATGTATTGGTAAGAAGACTAAGATTATTATCTATTCACAGTAAACTAATAAATTATAATTTTTTATTTTGAAACAATTATTATATGGTTTCTATTTTATGATCCATTCAAAGTAAAAATATTAGTTATTAATAATAACTATTGGATAATAATTCTTGGATGTATAATAAGTTATTATACATCTAAGAAAACAAGGGATCCCTAGTTATTTTTCTAAGTTTTATTTAGTATTTTAAAAAAACCTGTTACTTAACCATAAGACTACAATGTTGTTACTATGAGTTGTTTAAATATATTCCATTATAATTAATAAATTGTAATGATATACATTGTTAATCGGATCAAGCTGTCAACCTATATTCAATAATAGAAAATGAAAGAAAATATACGATATTATCGTATTGTATCGTATTCCAGTGTCGAACTACTGACAGCCGTCAAGCTTTGATAAAGTATTTTATCATTCTGTTATTTTTATCAATTCATGCACTAAGATAAAAATCTAATTTTTAATTTTGAGTAATATATTGTTATTAAATATCATGACTAAAAGAAGGAAAATGTTCTATATTATATGTACCAATATTAAGCATACAAAATGTCCTAGGATGATTCGACAAATGAAATAACTTTCGTTCTGTTTATGATTTTTAATTTTTTTTTTTTTTCTAAATAAATACTTAGGTCCTGTGCTACAACAAAATTGAATTAAAATAATTTTTTGAAAATTTTAAATTTTATTCTACAGTTTAAAAAAAACCCAAAATAGCCATTTTGTAAATCAGATATTCTTTTTTTTAGAAAAATTATGGTTTTAAAATGACTTTTTAAAGATTAATCATTGATTTATTATGAATTTTTGAATTTTTAAAATATTTAAAAAGTTATTTTTATAATTAAAATTATTGTGATATGTTTTATTATGATTAAATTGGTGGTTGCTATTAATTTTTCCATAAAATCATGTATGTGGTTTTAAAATATTCTGTGTATTTGATATTTAATTCAAACATAATCAAAACATATTATCAGTGTCATTATTATTAAAGCAAGTAAGATTTTTCAAATTATCAAATAAAAATTTGAGTCATTGAACAGCAAAATTGAATAATCCGGATAATCTATGAAATCCGGATTTGCCCATCACTAGCTCATACCACTTTAATATAACACCCTAAGCATATCAATGTATTATAAATATTAGGAATATTTTAAAAAAAAGTAAAAAAGGAAAAAGAAAAATTGTATACAAATTAAGTAGAGTAAGATAACAACTAGCAATGATAACAAAAATCTTGGAATAAATTAAATTTCAATCAGTCATTATACAATGATATACGTTACGAGTATAATAATTATGTAGTACAGAATAATATTGTTAGCTTTTTCACAAAATTTAAAAAATCTAAAAAATTAACTGATATTCCTTTATTAGATTTTTAAACACCAATATATTTTTTTTAAGCTCCTATTTACAAAAGGCTATTTTAGATTTTTTTTCAAATTGTAGAATAAAATTTAAAATTTTCAAATTTGAATTCTAAAAATCTTAACAATCTTCTAATGCAATTTTGTTGTAACGCAGGATCTAAGTATTTATTTTAAAAAAATATACTTAAAATAAACAGATTTTAAGCTATTGCATTTGTCAAATCATACTGGGACATCCTGTATATAAGGTACATTATGTGTGTGTAAATATTTTTGGTGATGTGCATATTTAAAATATTTGTGTGACATTGATTTATTTTGACATACCAAAACGATAGAATTTATAATTGACTGACTGATTCGCTGGTATTAAAAAAAAACAGTTCTCATAATTTAAAGTATAGTAAACGTTCTTTCAAGTATGTAAATATTGTTAAATATGATTAATTAATAAATAAATTTATAAATTATATCACTCAAATTATTAAATTTATATTGTTTGTTGTGACTCACATAGAGTCGTATGTCTTAGGTTCTTATTGTTATAGGCCTAATCTGAATTATGCATAATAAAATATTTTTTTTTATATTCATAGTTTGATAAATTATTATACATTTGAAATATTGTCTTTGTTAATATTATGTTTTCAAATAAACGAACAATTCATGGTCGACTGCTCTTACTTATTTTTCTTTTCATGTTACGTTTCTACTATTTATTGGACAATTTAAAAAATTAAACAATAATAAATAATACATATTATGTTATCATAAACTTCACTTTTTATATTTTTAAGTTGTTTTTATTATTCAATTGCTATTGTCAGGCAGTTAGTTCAATACTGTAATAAATATTTTATTGCTTGGTTATCTAATTCTAGTAAATAAACGCAACAAAGTCTGGAAGAATTTTCAATTTTTTCACAATACATAATACACTATACTCTTCAGTTATTCCTAAAAATTTAAGTGCAAAATATTGTTCACATTATAAGTAAGTCAAAGTATAAACTGACTTGCAAAGAAATGCGAAATAAGCTATAACTAATTAATGCAGTTGAGCGATCTTTTTTCATGGGAAGTTTAGTGACTCATCGGCTTGCACAAAATTTGCTGTTAATAATATATAAACAAAAATACACAGGTAACAAGTAAATTTAATTTTAGCTATAAACACCCATTCAAATAATGTTCAAATAATGATCGTATATAATTTATACATTATACATTATATATATGAAATAAGTACTATTTTTATTTCAAGACACGTTTTATGTTAAAAGACCTTTAACTTAATGAAAACAATCGATAAAACCTATAACATTACCCAGGAAAACAATATATATATAGTAATAATGTTTTGGTACAAAATATATATTAAATCTTAAGATAAAACTATTTTATAAACTAAATGCTTTTTTATGATCTATCCTTTTAGATCATGAATTATAGTTTTTTTGCCACATTAAAAACTTTAATTTAAATATATAACAATCAAGCATCTGGTATATATGTATTGAATTGAGAATTTTATTCAAAAGGGTTTTTTAAAACCATTTTTCATTTTTAATAATTAATTTATAGGGAAACTACCAAGTAATATTGCTGCTACGATAGGCGTAACATACTCGTTATTATTGCGTCCTACAGTATATAGATATGATTTATTTTGCTAGGTTTTTTCACCAATTCAAAATTAATAGGACCGGCCAATAATGAGCCCACACAGACTTAATGTTTACTTAATGTTTTAAATGAAAAATAGTTTAAATAATAAATCAAAACCATGTAACAAATTCTAAATAATTTTAATTGACAAAACCATTATTATATAAAAAAAAAAAAAAAAAAAAAATGAATAAAAGTTTTTGTTAACAAAATTCCTTTCAAAGTATCGAACCATACAAATGAAATATATTATTATGGTTACCTAAAAAATAAATATCTGGATGGTACGGCTTTTTGTGCTCTTACAAAAATGTGTTTAAAAAAATTATAGATCATCATAAAATATATTCCAAAACGTATACACGAACACTTTCTCTCTTTGAAACCATCCAAACCCCAGACTTATAATATTTTCGCTAACGTCTGCGAAACGCTCAAAGAACATTAACTGATTAATGTGCACGGGCTACATGGTGAAGAACCATTCTATAAAACCTAAGACACAATATCTCGGTCACTATAAATATTTCTTCATTAGTATAATAATAATATTCAGTATTCACTACTCTTAAAATCAGTTATTAATTATGTATATTTCAAAATTAGTTTAAACTAATATAAAATTAGCCAATTACATATTGTAAGTATTTATTGATAGTCATTAGTTATACGTTCTTCCTAATTTGATTCAACAATATGTAAAAATTATAAAAATAAAATAGAAACTATACAGAATTGGGTTATATTTTACTTATGCTTATAGTTCTAATAACATTTAACAATATGTCTACTTTCTTGTAGGTGAAATGTTTTTAATAAAACACTTATTAATGATTTAATATTTATTACTGTAAAAAAAAAAAAATTATAAACTTTTTATTTTATGATATATATATATATAAATGTAAAAATCATTTATATAATGCATTCGTATTTTTCTAGTTGTACCTTCATATCACATTACGCTATGTTTGTATGATACTATGAAAATAATAGTCGTATGGGTTATATTAAATATTGTAGTATTATTAATGAAGAGAAATTTTTTCAAAAAGTTTTAGAGACATTTTATTCAAGAATATTTATTTTTCAGTTTGTCTATCCTAATAGCCTATTTCTAAACGTTACAAAAAAATATTAAAATATAAGATTTATTTTTATGTAGTAACGTCTAAAAGGTATAAATCACATACAACTCACACTTCTTGTCCTCCTCCTCTTACTCTTACCCTTTCTTTTGAATCTACCGTTTTCTACTGTTGATGGCGCGAAAAAAAGCTTCGACCTTATAGTCACGCAGACCTATCTGAATACACAATAACCTAGTGATGCAATTTATTTTTCCGTGTATTATACGTTAGAATTACGACAATATTAATTACGTGACCTTTTGTATGTACACTGGCGCTTTGATGTTAACCAAATTAAAAAAAACGAAGAAATGGGGAAGGATACAGAAAGTTCCCGAATACTTTGACAACTAATTAGTGTACTTTGTACAGTTATTATACTTGTATCGTTAAATTTTTTGGCAATTTTATATCATCTTGTGCAAAAAACATAGTTTCGAATTGAATCTATTCATTTATTGAAATATATCTATCATTTCAATCTTATTAAATTAATTATAAATATCATAATCATAGAAGCAACCAAACGCAACGATTAATTGATGTTTTTTTGTGTTTCAGAATAATAATACTGTGAGAAATGATACCGAAAACTGTTGGATATTCATTTGATGCGTATAAAAAATTATAATTAGTAAGTTATCCTATTTTTTAAAACTTATGAAACCAATTCATATATAAGGAGGTTTTATAAGAGTATAAAATTATATCTCCTTCTTCTCGCCAACATTTTTTTAAATTATTTGGTTAGAATAAGAGATTGAACAGGAATAAAAATTTGTGTTTAATAGTTCTATATAGAATTTACTGCCCGTAAGTATTTGATACACCTTTACAGTTGAACTGAAAAAAATTAAGTTCTATAAATATGTTTTGATTCACGAGAGGGTTACCAATTAATTTTCCTGTACCTATAAGCAATATACATCGAACTTGAGTACTGGTAATTATATTATTTTAAGCATGTTAAAAAAATACTATCAGATGAACCTAGCAAAACCGCGGTACTAGTTTCCTTCGGTCAATATATAAATTGTTTTATTTTTACTTAAAGTAGATAGTGATGTAATTGTGATGCCATAATAATACTAATTTTATTCTGTAACCATATATTTTTATTAAAAGCTATAATTTATTAAACTAAAGTTAAATCTATGAATATTTATCTATATTATCATATTATCTTTATCAATTTTTAATGAATAAAAATTAATTGTAAATTACACCTTTTGTGTGAATAACTTTTTAAAAATAAATTATCTGCAAAATATAAAGAAAGATAAGACAATAACTTGAAAAGTTTAAAAGCTTCAATTCGTGGGATAATTTTTAGTAGATTCAGCTTGAATACATCTTGTGGAATTCTCATTTAGCGCACCAATGAAAACCAAATACAATCATTGCTCTGTAACTCAGTAACACATTAGAAAATGTGATCAAGAATGAGGTAAAATGGTGCAATACGTTGTTAAAAAACTAAAATTATTGACTATATACATATCCCTACTTATATTTAAACTACAGGTTACAGCGGTACTTTTCTAACAATTAGTTTCACCAAACTTGATAATATTATTGTGAACCGTATAGACCACAAAACACCTATTAAACCGTATAGAATCGATTGCAAGGTTACGACGAACTAAGAAAATACAATTTTCGGTGCACATTTCGTTTTATAATATTGACCGTTGTCATTATAAAGGTCTAAACACGAAATATGTTTGCTAAATTGTTGTAGCCCATTCACTATAAAAGTATTTATTAATAACCATACAGTGTGAACATTGTTTAAAATATTTTAGTTTCACACGTACTTTTAATTTAACTTATACCAAATTATAGGTTAAATACTAACTAACATCGTTTTAAATGTTAAATAACATTATCTTTACTTGAATACTTATAAAATTATATATATTATACATGAATGAGCATTCATTATCATTTCTTTTTTTGTTGTATTTTAGTCAACTAACAAACTTTAATATTTGCAACCTATATATCAAAATTAACATTAAAATTCTATAATAAGCTCTAAAATCTAAATTTAACGTACACAAAAACTTATGTGGTATGTTATATATAAATCAATTTAATTATTCATTTTTATTGAGTTGCATTTTATCTGACATTTTGTTATAAGATTCAAAAATCTGTTTTTCGCAGTTATTCGAATAATTAGGATTTGATTAGTTTTATGAATGTGAAATATTATTCCGAAGTAAATATAGCACACATAAAATAGAAGCTATCGAACTAACCAAGAACTATTTTTTCTAACAATATACATATATTCACTTATTAATTGTATTGTATTATTAAACATGTAAAACAATTAAAACAAGAACAATTTCATTCAAAATATTTTGAAATTTTAATTTAATTTAGAATTATAAATTAATACGTTTTAACTTTTTTCCGTTCTACGTAAACGTATTAACGCTTGTGAGTCATAATTTATGTAATTTTATTACAAGATGCAAATTTATATTAACACACTTTTTGACAATTTATAATTTCTGATATCTTTTTATTTTTGTTACATACAAACCATAAACGTTATAACTAATGAACATTAATTAACGACAAGTCAAATAATAATTTTAAAATTATGTTCTCACATTTCCAAAATTAAAATATTTTATACGACAACAATAATAGAAACTTACCAACTCATTTAAATCAATGTTTAAACAATTTTTCGATAATTAATAATTTATTAATAAAACCTGTTTTTTTGTTGCCAAAATTTAACATTTAAAAGCTTATTTTATATTTTGGACAAAAACTGTATTACATTATTTTAGATTTCCATAAAAATTGATGAATTGCAATTTTTAATCACGAATTTCAATTATTTTAATCGTATATACTTATGTCAAAATGCATATTTAATTTTGCCTATTATTTACCAATTTTTTTTTCTTGGATTTATCCTTTCTCATCATTACTTATATGTATGCTATTGGGTAGATCAATTAAAACTCCGGTTGAAACTGTCAAGGAACCTGTGGTGACGTAAACAACGCACCGCGAATCGTCCAAGTTATTTACAATATTGTCAGTGGATAAGGGGAAATCCCATGTTCTAGAATATGCGATGATTATCTCGTTAAGGTAATTTCGAGAATGTTGTAGACAATCGACGCCGATATATATATATATACCGGCTGGTCAGACGCTCATTCAATCAGTCCGTGAGTACAATCCCCGACACACCGTGAATTACACTCCTCGATATATTCGGCAATTCCTCCTCAATTGTAACGCGTATCGATATTTGTACATACATATTTATATAATATAGTGTCTATTTTAATTAAATTAAATTGTGAGTGATTTTTATTACTTAAATCCCACAAACTTATTTCTTTTGAAAAGTTTTATAATTTTTTAAAAACAACTAAATAATTGTTTTTATTTAATATTAAAACGTGATTTATTGTTAGAATGCATCCAAAATAACTTTTTTGAATATTTAAAAACGCTTGGTATTTCTTATGAACAAAAATAAGTAATTGTATAAGTGATTTGTTCGTATAATTAATATTTGTAACTTATCTGTCTGCTTAAGCAAAAGCTTTATTATATTTCTGAATAAAGGGATTGTAAAATTTATTCTCAAATGTCAATAATTACCATTTCCCATACAACCAGCTTCCCTATTCTACAAATAAATCAAATAAAATATATCAATGTTGAAGTGGTTTAAATACAATTTATTCAGCCCTATACGTGGCTTATTTTTATAATCAATCAAACAAATACATTTTTTTTTTTTTTTTTTTGTTTTTTTAACTAGCTTAATATGATTTTCAATTATTATTTGATTTGAGACTTCGGGAATCGAGAATCTTTCACTATATGACATTTAAAATACGCTCACTATCCTTTGAGAATAAGTTAAGTGCTTATGTGTTCCGTCAAAAATGTATATGCTTATGTATATATTCATAAACACATAAATATACATACACATTCAATTGTGTGTGTATAAAATTGGAAATTATTCTATTGACATTTTAGATACGATGTATTTATTTATATATTTTAGATGTATTGATTATATATGACCTCTTCCTCACTCTCTATCTTGCTGTAATTCGTAACATTAATTCATAAATATCTTTTTTTTTTTTTTTTTAACACACTATAATCATTGACATGTTTAGATCAGAATCTCATCAGAATTTTTCAGGAACTTTCAATTTGAATGTTAATACATACCTTCAACATTTTTAAATAAAAATAAATAATTATTTTATAAGTATTAATTGTCAAAAAGAAAATTTTTACTTTAGTTCACCCTCCTTCAGTAAATATGAAATTTTTTTTTTTTTTGTATTATTATTATATAAATTAATATCAAATGATTACTGGACCTCACTGAAAAAAACTCGTGTGGAGGCCTAATATATATATATATATTTATATATTATAGTGCTTAAGATATATATTGCTCAATCCAAAATGATCTAAATGTTAAAAATAGTACAGGTAATGTTAAATTTCATTATAATCGATTTCACACCAAACTAAACTACTAATCCCCTCACCAACAACATGACTTTTTCTTACATTCCCGAATGACCTCCTCGCAGGCCCAAACGTAATTGAAATCGTGATCTACTTTATTAATGAACGAAAATTATTAAACTAAATGTTCATAGGTGGGTGTTATCAGTGAGTGACTTCCTCGAAAGTTCTTTTTAATGTTATGCTTATTACTACATCAAAATAACTAAATGTGCTTATTTGTGCAGATTCTTTTATTTTTTATTTTTTTAATAATAAAAAATATATATATAAAAAAAAACGTTTATATTACTTTATTTTGATACATATAAGAAAACATTGACATACATTTTTCTTTTGGATTTTTGTATCTTGTGTATTTTGAATTAACATAAATGTGTGTAAGTCTTTATAAAAGAATTTCAAAGCAGTGTAATTTTAACTACAGATAGAATATTCACATTATCTAATAATTGTTAATTATTAATTCAATATAACTCATTAAATATTTCATATTTTAATATCATAACTATTCCGATGACATCATAGTCATCCTTATAGTAACCAGTGCTTTGTAGAATATTGATTAAAAATAGTACTATAAATTTTTTAGGTAATATGTTTTAACTTTTGTTCAATCCCTATTTTAATCAGAATATTTTGTTAATATTACACGTATATAAATAATAATAATTATAATAACAATAAAATCTATTTAAATAGTTAAATCTAAAGACTCTTAAGTCTACATAATTTCTAAAACATAAGAAACATGCTTTAAACTCTCTCGATTCTCAAATAAAGTTTTGTTTAAAAACGTTTATTACCTGTTCATATATACATTTTGACTTTTACCTTCAATAAACTAACATGTTAATTAATTATAATCTAGAGAAATAATTATACATTTTTGAATACGTAAATAATTTAAAATTATAATTAATAACGCAGACTTACATTATTAATTTATTATTTACCTTATATTTCACTCCGCAAAATTACAAATGTCTCTTTTTTTGTCTCAAATCATACTCTTCATAACGATCTTAATATTAAAACAATGAAGAAATCAAAACCTTCTACAATAGAATTCACCTCAAACTTTCGAATCACTTC